CGTTCACTGGCAACCTTGAAGAAATAGACCAGCTTGTTCAAGAGGCTCGGCGGCCTTTTTCGTAAGTGTGTGAACTGCTCAGAGCCCTCCTGGGCTTGTTTTCGTACCAAAATTTGGTAGGTACACTCCTGTCCCTACGGTTTTGAGCTATTAAAGGGTTTGAACTTCAAAAGGCGGCGATAGCTCAATCTAAACACACCTTCAGGGAGTATGACGGTTGAAACTTCTAGATTTTCAGCGCCTGCCTTTGTTTCTTTGGGACCAACTGGCTTTGATTTTTGACTCCATCGAAGAAACTGGGGTGTGGGACTGCGCTGTGTTGTCTTGTTCCTCAGCAACCTGATCAAACAGGGCCTCTTGAGCTGCGACCGGTGTCACTAATGAGTTTAGTGACACAGAGTCAGAGCTTGAGTTCCATGCGGACAAAAAACCTCTTGGAATGGCAGGAGAACTGGATTCATGCCAACGCCAAGGGTTTCCGACGCAACTCCGGAACTGAGGACTTATTTTGGCAACTGGCTGCATGGGTTAATAAAAGTTATCTTGGCCGGTGACGAACTGTTTGGGGTGGCTTTTGATTTTCGTAAGTGTTTCGACATGGTTCCTCATGGCATCTTCTTCGGCGTCTTAACTGAAAGGGGTTTATCTAACCGTATTCTCTTGCCGATGTTCGAAAAGCATGTATGCTTCGCTCAAAAGACAGTGGGAGCTTTCCAAAAATGCAGTGGGGTCGGAGTGGACCGCCACGAATGGCATCTTGCAGAGTCTCCGTAGAAGAACTGCGCTACCGCTCTTTGACTCCAAGCAGTTTCTTGTGAAGCGCCAGCGCAGGCTGAGGTTAAGCAGCCAGGTGGATACGCTGATGATGTTCATGCTGTCTCCAAGACTGCGCCTGCTTTGCAAAAAGTGGTGACAATACTTGCTGAATACGCCAACCTTTCAGGAAATTGTCGCGACAAAAGCTTCACCTTTGCCATCGCGTCACAGCTAGGAAGGCGTTTCGCTTCGGTGTCTCTAAATGGTCGTAGGTTTGCAGTTAAAAGCAATGTTGACCTTTTAGGAGTTACCATTGTCATGGACCAGTCCAAATGCAAAGCGTGGTCGCGCTGGTAACACAGCTAAGTTAGCCAAAGGGGCTAGTATATAACGCTCGTCTTCAAAGGCTTCGATACGCGCAGCTCGACTTCGAGTCTCGTGAACTTCTGGCTGGCGCCAGCGCTTTACTGCCAATGTTCTACGGCCAAGCCGGAAAACCCCTGCCTAAGGTTCTGCGCTCCGTTCGTCGGGCTGGACTTCAAGCCACCTGGCGCACGGCGCAGGGCACTTGAGCTGCGCAGAGATCGCGTTCACTTTGTTCTTGAAAGGACACAGAGTGGATTGTGTTCAAGCAACCGATTGGTCTTACATTCAGGCACTTAGACGCCTAAGCACCCACCGGTCCCGTTGCCAATCCGGAAGGTCTCTACCAAACGGCCTCGATCACCTGATCAGCCGCCTAGATCCCAGGCCTCCAGTTCTGCTGCAGCGGTGAGTGACGCCGCGGGGGCAGCTGAGTTGAAGCCAAAGATCAAGCCAAGCCACGAGCGTCCGCCAGGCAGGCCGAATCAGTGGCCCTGCCAGAGTTTGCGCCTGCGCCGCAGGACTCTACCTTCGACTACCTCGCCACACAGTGGAGGGGCGCCCCACGTTGGCTCCCACGCTGCTGCTGGCGGGCAGCTTTGGCTGTCGGGTATTGCGATGGAGTCCACTCGAAGCTCCTTTCCTGCAGTTCACCTCACCTCGAGGTGACAGCTATGAAGAAGACGCCCCAGGAGAGGGGCGGAGTGGTCTTGGACAACGCCTTCTTGGTCCACTTGAACATGGATGTGGCCAACAGGGCGCAAGAGACCTGGCCAACAGTCTGGCCCCTGGTGTCTGGTGTACCGAAGCACCCACAATGGCGAATCAGTGCATTGCATTGCCGGAAGGCATAGGGCACCAGCGGCCGCCATTCTGCTGCTGGCATGCTCCACTCACATCTCAGTTGAGCAGGCGGCAGATGAAGTGAGCAAGCGCCGACCTTGCGTGGGCCTTGTCCTCCTCTTGGCTGCGCCCCTGAACTCTGTCAACTCTGTGGCTGGGCTCTGTGTCCAGGCCTTGTCCTCCTGAACTCTGTCAAGTCTGTGGCTGGGGTCTGTGGCTGGGCTCGCCTTGTCCTCCTCCTGGCCGCGCCCCTGAATTCTGTCAACTCTATGGCTTGCCTGTGTGCAGACCTTGTCCTCCTCTTGTCCTCCTCTTGGCCATGCCCGTGGGCTGTGTGGCTGGGCTCTGCGTGGCCTTGTCCTCCTCTTGTCCTCCTCTTCACCGCGCCCCTGAACTCTGTCAACTCTGTGGCTGGGCTCTGTGGCGCGCGCTCTGACATACGCTCCAGAAAGGACCGCTCAGAGCGCGCTCCAAGAAAGACAGAGAAAGATAAACTTAAAGAGAAAGAGAGAGAGAGAGAGAGAGAGAGAGAAAAAGACAGCAGGGCGAGCCTTCGCGCGCTCGTGTGCTTCGGACGGCGCGCTCTGCGCGCTCTGAAATACGCTCCAGAAAGGCGCGCTCTGCAGAGAGAAAGGCAGAGAAAGAGAAACTTAAAAAGAAAAAAGAGAGAGAGAGTGAGAGAGAGAGAGAGAGAGAGAGAGAGAGAGAGAGAGAGAAAAAAAGACAAGAAAGAGAGAAGAGAAGAGAAGAGAAGAGAAGAGAAGAGAAGAAAAGAGAAGAGAAGAGAAGAGAAGAGAAGAGAAGAGAAGAGAAGAGAAGAGAAGAGAAGAGAAGAGAAGAAAAAAGAAAAGAAAAGAAAAGAAAGAAAGAAAGAAAGAAAGAGAGCAGGGCGAGCCATGGACGGCGCGCTCGCCCGCGCTCTGTAATACGCTCCAGACAGGCGCGCTCAGGGCGCTCTGCAGAGAGAAAGACAAAGAAAGAGAGAAAGAGAGAGAGAGAGAGAGAGAAAGAGAGAGAGACAGAGAGAAAGAAAGAAAGAAAGAAAGAAAGAAAGAAAGAAAGAAAGAAAGAAAGAAAGAAAGAAAGAAAGAAAAAGAAAGAAAGAAAAAGAAAGAAAGAAAAAGAAAGAAAGAAAGACAGAAAGAAAGACAGACAGAAAGAAAGACAGAAAGAAAGAAAGAAAGAAAAAGAAAGAAAGAAAGAAAGAAAAAGAAA